GTGGAATTCTTGCCCTGAGCCTGAGAGAGGCTGGAACAGCAAGATTCCTTTCAGCCAGGAAAGGGCTGGCCTCGGAGTCCAGCAGGGGTCCAGCCCCAGGCCCCTTGGATGGCCAGCCCTGTGCCCTGCTGAGCTGTCAGTGTCACCTGGCCAGCTGGGGAACCCTCTGTGCTCAGCACTGGAGGAAGGGCAGGGACCTGGCCTCTGGCAGCCCAAGGCCACTCAGTGGCCTTGCTGGACTCTCTCGCTTCCCCACCTCCTGGGGCCTCCGTGTCTCTGTCTGCAGTGCGGGGATAGGAGGAGGGTTGCCCCTGCAGGGCTGCTGTGCAGGCGACCTCCACGGAGGCCACGGCTTACATGACCAAGCTAAGCTGAAGTCCTCTGTTCTCCTGGGGAGACTGAGAACAGCAGACTTGAGGGGTCTCGGTGTCCAAAGAAAACCTCCAAAATGAGGCTGACCTGACACCAGCTGGAGCTCTGGTCTGCCGGGGGGGTGGGCACACAGGACAGACGGAGCAGGTCAACAGACGAGAATTAAAGAAGCAAAGGACTCTGGGGTGGGCTTCTCAGGCCGTGATCCCACCCCTCAAAAGAAAGACCAGGACCTAAGTCCTTTGAAGGGAGAGGGAGCCCCCAGGCTGGAAAGGTCTAAAGCCTGCAGCCAGAGAGAGGACCCTGAAACTTTTTCTGCAGAAAAAAATATAGCAACTTGAAGACTCCTTCCCTGGGCTTCCTGGCAGGTCGGCCCTTGTGCATGCAGGAGCAGCTTGATCAAGGCACTCTGCCAGCTATGCTGGGCCTGCTGCCCTTCCCTGGGAGGGGCAGAAGCACCAGATGGACTCTCAGTGGTGAGCTGGGGAAGGTGTGACAGGGTGGGGTCTCAGGGTTACCCCTCCTATCCCTTTACCAGTTACACAAAGATGCTCCCGGGCCAACCCATCACAATGCTCCGCTCTTCTGAAATCCCGAGAGAGTTTGTGTGCCAGCTGGCGTTTCAAGGGCAGAAACCTATGGCCCCTTCTGGGCTCCTGGAATGTCCATAAACCCCTGCTCTGACCCTTTCCTTGGTGGCAGTTGGGGTGCCATCCAAAAGGTCAGGGGTTCAAACCCACCAGTCGCAGTGCCGAGGGAGAAAGAGGAGGCTGGCTGCTCCCGTCAAGATGTGCTAAGCCTTGGAAACCCTACGTTGGGTCACTAGGAGTCGGGTTTGACTCAATGGCAGTGGGTTTGGGGCTCGGGGTTCCCCCTCCCCTTGCCTGTTGTTTGCTGCCATTGAGTTGTTTCTGACTCACAGCGATCTTGGGGGGCGGGGGAGTGGGGGAGGACGGACCCATCCTGATCCTTCCTCCTGCAGGGTGGCTGGTGGATTCGAATTGCTGGCCTTTCGGGAAGCAGCCAGCGCCTCACCGCGGCACCACTACGACTCCTTTTCTTTGCATTGGAATTAAAAACAGACATCCAAAAAACCCACCCCACCAAAAACGGTGATTGCAGACAGGGATTTTCAAGGGCATGGGTGGTTCTCTGTCCTGATGTCACCCACCCTGTCCCAGAGGCTGATTCCACCAGGGACATGCATGATGCCCGGGCAGCAGCTGACCCTGACCGCCCTGCTCAGCTTTCCATCCAGAGAGAACACGTGAAGCCAGCCCCTCCAGCAGGGGTCCCTGAGGTGGGAGGAAGCCTCATTCCCTTAACTCAGGGGTCCTCGCACTTTTTACACAGGGGGCCAGTTCACTGTCCCTCAGACCCGTTGGAGGTCGGGACTGTAGTTTTAAAAAAACGATGAACAAATTCCTGTGCACACTGCACAATTCTTATTTTGAAGTAAAGAACAAAACGGGGCAAAAACACCCGGCGGGCCGGATAAATGTCCTCAGCGGATAAATGTCCTCGGCGGGCCGTAGTTTGAGGACGTCCTAATTGATCTTGGGCGATTTAATTTGAGGACCCCTGGGACACTGAGTCGATTCCGACGCTCAGCGACCCTGCAGGGCAGAGGAGGGTGGCCCCTGTGGGTCTCTGAGGCTGTAACTCTTTACTGGAGCGCGCAGCCTGCTCTTTCCTCCCACGGAACAAACCAAGTCTGAACCGCTGCCTTGGCGGTCAGCAGCTAGATGCGCTAACCTGCTGCGGCAACGCGAATCCCAGAATGCCTAGACTGGAGGAGGTGGCTTAAGCTCGGCTCGCTCATCGTAGCCCACGGTGGTCCAGGGGGAAACGCTTGCTCTCTGGGCCCCTTAAAGGCCCCCCCCTCCCAGAATGGAAGCCACACCTATAAAGGGATGTTAACTGGTGTCGGTCAACCCCAGCTGCCCCCCTCTGAGCGCTGGAGACCAAGGAGCCTGAGGAAGAGTGGGAGGGGCCCCTGCACTTCACCTGAGCCTAAAACTCCCTCTTTGATGTCCGCCCACCCCAGGGCCCAACGAGACACATGGTGGGGTGGGGGTGGGGTAGGCTGGAGAGGGAGGGAGGGAGAGGGAGAGAGTCAGACAGAGAGAGAAGGGTTGAGAGAGTAGGGGTTGGATGTGGGAAGGAAGGGAGAGACAGAGAGAGAGAGAGAGAGAGAGAAGGATGGGGAGACACATTAAGAGGGCAAAGAAGAAACAAGTGGTGAAAGAAAGGAAAGAAAAGGGAGCGATACAAAGTAAAGTTCAGAGATAAAGAGACAGCGAGAGACAGACAGACCTGGGAGAAGGGGCTGGGGCTGGGCATGCTCCCTGAATGATGTCCTCGACCACGGAACAATATAAAAACATCAAGAGGGGAGAAAGCGGGTGGAAAGAGAGAGAACCAAGCAGGAACAAAGGGCAATGCCCACCGAGGGGCAACGAGAAAGAGGTGGGGAGGAGGGGGCAACACCATGTCATTGAGTCTGACTCACAGTGACGCCAAAGGGCAGGGTGGAACCGCTCCTGTGGGTTCCTGAGCAGTAAACCTTTCTCCCTCGGAGCACTGGGTTTGAACAGTTCACCTCGACTGGTTCGTACCACCAGGGGTCTGACGTGCGGAGAACGGAGAGGAAGTGGGAGTGGAGGAGGGAGGAGGGGAAAACAGGAGTGGGCAGGCGAAGAAGAGACACACAGAGGAATAGGGGAGGTGGGGAGCACCGCAGAGATGGGGGTGGGGCCACCCTGAAAGGAACTTCCTTCGGAGACAGCTTTGAAACTTCTTTTGTGCCCATAAACCACAGCCATCGGGTCGATTCTGACGCACAGTGACCTCAAAGGACAGAGGAGAATGCTCCCTGATTTCCGAGACCCTAGATCCTTTCAGGGCACAGGCAGCCTCATCTTAATCCTGAAGTGTGACTGGT